CACTGCATTCCAGCCTAGGTGACAGAGTCAGACCCTGTCTCTAAAAAAAATAAAATGAAATGAAATACTCTTGAGCACATTAAAATATAAACACATTTTCATTTACAAAAAGATGCTCAAATATCAGTGAAATAATAAATCAGTCCAGACATGAAATATTGTCAGAATTGAAGAATTTTAGAACTATTGGGATCTAAAATGATCTAGTGGAACTTGTTTCTTTAAAGATGAAAACAACAAGGCAAAACACAATAGTATTAATACCCTATAAAATAACATTTTATAGCATTAAAGGAAGCTTCCTGTAAAAAAAAAAAAAAAAAAAAAAAGGTTCATCCTCAGACTTGAATCATCACTTTGTAATAACTACTACCTGATTCACCTGCTTAACATGGTCAAGTAAATTCACAGAACAGGGCCTTTCTCTCAGACAGAACTGGTAGTCCTGCCACACTGTTAGTAAGGAAGCAGAAGGAGAAATGCATTCAGTTGTTGAGCACTTCAGGGTTTACCACCACTAAACTGCTTTAACTTCCTGAAATCAAATAAGATGGATAGTATTAACACCTCATATGATATAAGGGTACAGATTTGGAGGCCTGCCAATGATCACACAGAAAATAAACAAAATTTAGACAAGTCTGACTCCTTCCACTACATCACAGTCAGTAAATGACACTTGGGGGAGTGTCCTCTATAAAAGATTATGACTCTAAATGTTGAGACAATAAAGTATTAATCTGTAAGGGCCTTTCTAGTTTACTGTTATATTTACACAAAATAGACAATTATTAAACTGATAAATCTAAAGTGGTGGATGAGTTAATTCAATCATCAGTTCTTGGTCTGGATTCTCTTCTCTTCAGCAACCCATTAGGCTATTGGTTTCCTCAATATTTTAAATTCTCCCTTAATAAATCAATCAAAATTTAAAGAGAAAAAATTACACCACCTCATGTTTTGCTGTCACTGAAAACTGACATCTAGTCACAGCTCAATTAAAAATCTTGCACGTCCTAGCTCAACTCCTTTTCCACAGAGGCTATTTCAAATCTCCATCATTCTTTGGCAACCCCAATCTCTTCTCTAATCAGTTGGCATTATCCCTATCCTCTTAGAGACTTAGGGTTTTTTTGTTGGTGGGTTTTTTTTTGGGGGGGGGGGGCTATCTTTTTCCTGCAGTGGAGACCATAAACTTTGAACACTCTCATTTTTTCACCACCCCACTTATAAATATCTATATCCATTCTCTTTTCTTGTTTCTCAGTGCCTAGGAATACAGTTAACCCTTAACTGATACTTGTTAGATGTGACAAATGAATTCAAGAACTCTTTCGCCCTGCTCCATCCCATACCTTCCTATATTTTCAGGACTCTGTATCAGCTACCTTCTCTCTCTTCATCACCTACATCTTCAAATATCACCTCTGTGGCTCTTTCCCTTATAGCTTATTATCAATCTTCCACCCCCCTCAAAAAAAATCAACTCTACAAACTTTAGTTATTGTTCCATCTCTTTCTTCTCTTTATAGTCAAACTGCTTTAAAAAAAAATGTACAACTGGAAATTTCCTTTTTTGAGACAGGAAGGGTCTTGCTCTGTCACCCAGGCTAGAATGCACTGGAATATTGCGGCCTTGAAATCCTGAACTCAAGCCATTGTCTCACCTCATGGGAATTTTATATTAAGGAGGTACTATGAAGTAGGATAATGAAATTAAAGTTAATTTTTTTTTTTGAGACGGAGTCTCACTCTGTGGCCAGGCTGAAGTGCAGTAGCACAATCTCGGCTCACTGCAACCTCTGCTCTCGGGTTCAAACAATTCTCCTGCCTCAGCCTCTCAAGTAGCTGGGATTACAGGCACGCACCACCACACCTGGCTAATTTTTTGTATTTTAGTACAGACAGGGTTTCACTATGTGGGCCAGGATGGTCTTGATCTCCTGATCATGATCTGCCACCTCAGCCTCCCAAAGTGCTGGGATTAAGGTATGAGCCACTGCGTCTGGCCTAAAGTTAATTTTTGAAAGAATCCCTACCTTTTAAAAATACATACTGAAATACCTAGAGATGAAAAGCTGTATCTGAGTTTAGCTTCAAAATAACCCACTGGAGAAGTAGGAATTACAGATAAAACAAAATTAGTTATGTGTGCACTCTTCAAGCTAGGTGATAGTTACACTGGAGTTCATTTTATTTTCTCTTTTTTTGTGTATGTATTATGGGAAATTTTCAGTATTTTTTTAAGTAGCATGTGCTCACTGATTGCTCTTCATTTCTACAAAGTTCTAAAATGATTTCTGGCCATGAAATACATCAAGCACTTCTCAGTCTTTACATTACATGCCATCTCCAAGGCAAATGATACTCTGGACCACTCCAGGCTTCTTACTTTCTCCTCCTTTGTTTGTTATGCTCTCTCCCACTTCTTCTTTCTCTCCACCTCCTAACAACAGTCTCATTTGTAGGCTCCTCCCCGAAACACAGACACACATCTCTTTTTCTTTTTTTTCTCTTGAGACGGAGTCCCACTCTGTCACCAGGCTGGAGTGCAGTGGCACCATTTTGGCTCACTGCAACTTTCACTTCCCGGGTTCAAGCGATTCAACCTCCACCTCCAGGGTTCAGGTGAATAGCTAGGACTACAGGTGTGTGCCATCATGCCCAGCTAATTTTTGTATTTTTAGTAGAGACAGGGTTTCACCATGCTGGCCAGGATGGTCTCAATCTCTTGACCTCGTGACCCACCCGCCTCCCAAAGTGTTGGGATTACAGGCGTGAGCCATTCCACCCAGCCTACATACATCTCTTAAATAAGAGTTCCATATCCAAACCTCTTTTTCTTTTCTACTCATTACTCCAACGTGAGCTGGTCCATTCTCCCTTGTAGCCTTAACTACTTATCTATATGCAAACTTCTAACTCCAGCCTGTTCTCTCCGAACTCCAGACTCAAATGCATCCCCACTTGAATATCCAACAGGAACCTCAAACAAATACTCAAAACTGAACTAATACCTTTATCTTTCACCCCAACAAAAACCAGTTCCGCCTCATCTCACTCAATCAATGGGTTCACTATTACCTCAATCGTGCTAGCCAGAAACTGAGGAATCAATCATCTTAGAATTCCAAATCTCTCTAACTCCCAACACACAAACACTTATCAAGTCTTATCAATTGTATCACTTAAACATTCCTTCAATCCATGTCTCTCTGTGACTCCAACTGCTTAATTCAGACTGTCTTCATTTCTCTACTGGACTTTTTTTTTTTTTTTCTATTATACAACTGGGTTTTCTACTACCACTCTAATCTTTCCCCTCCCAGGTCCATTCTCTACACTGGAGCTGGAGTTATCTTTCTAAAGCACAAACCTGATGACACCACCACACTAGCTAAAATTCTCCAATGGCTGCCCCATGTCAAGATGAATTCTAAACTCCGAACACAGTACCAAGTACTTCAATATCTGGCCTCAACCACTAATTGCAAGTATTCTGGGATCCAGTCATTCAGAACTACCTAGGGTTCCCCAAATACAACAATCTACCCTTTGCTCATGTTGTGCCATCCATTTGTCCTAGACTGACTTTCCTCTTCATCACTCCAACGAAAGCCTATTCAACTATTTTAACATGAGTTAAAAGTTAACAAAAGTTAAAAGTATGATTTATACTCCAGACCTCCCCTGACTTCTTTAGACAGAGTCAGTATCTTTCTACTAATTGACAAAGAGAATGATCAGTGCTTGAGCTCATGACCAGACCCACTTGAGCTGAAATCCCAGGTTCACCCTTTACCCGCTATGATTTTGTACAAGGCCTCTAAAGCCTATTTCCTCATCTCTAAAAATCAGTAACTACTTCACCAACTGTTTTGAGGATTAACTAAGGAGCTGTATGCAAAATACTCTGCACAGCACCTTACATATTCAATAAATGTTACTGTTATGTGATTATTTCCACTCTGGGCTCCTATAGCAACTTGAACATATCTCTACCACACTATTGTGATGACATGACTGTTTGCCCATGCAGGATACTATCTTTTTTCATCTCTTTATTCTCACCATCTGGCGTAATGTCTGGCACATAGGTTCTTAGCAAATTTTGAATGAATAAATAAAATACTTCAAACTTGATGCTGTATCACATAAGGCCTCAATTTTGTTTTCTACCTGTCTTAGTAACTCTACTTTCCGTCTCCTCCTTGTACAAAATCGCTACCTCAAGTAAAATTTACACAGGTCAGCTTCATTTTAATTAAGAGAGAAATAATTTTATGGGATTTGTGTCTTTTTGTTTCTAAACACACACAAACTCACAATAATATCAACAATTCTCCAACTTACTTCATAAAGCAGCAAATTTCTAGAATGGTTATCGACCTTTTGAAAATTTTTAAAGGGTCGCCAAGGAAGGTTTCCTAAATCTGTGTCACCTCCCTTTCCCACCAATTCTTGGGTCAACCCTAAGGACTCAGGTGTACTCCTGAGCATAATTAATTAATTAATTTAAAAACATGGTATTTTTCCTACTGAAAACATGCTGAAAAATTCTGAATAACACTGAAATGATCCAAAAAAATAATTACTGCTGCCTACAGCTAAAAAAAAAAAGTATGTTTTCTAAAATTACTAGTAATTTAAAACTGAACTAATCAAAATATGTGTATGCACTGTTCAGGATGGCAAGTTGGGGTGGGGAAGAGCACTCATTTCACAACCTTGAACCTCAAGAAATAAAATGCAAAAATGCAAAACGTTAAAAATGCCAGATACCACCATAAAATCGCAATGACATCTTTTTATCTATTTCCACACTTAACCTTGAAACATTACTGCCCTTTGAGTAATTACCAATTGATGGGTTTAATATGCAATCACCTCTGAGCTACTTTAAAACAAACATGACTAATCTAGAAATAAACGTATCCGGGAAAGGAGAAAAGGCTGTTAAAACATGGTTTCTCAGGATTCACATCCAACGTGTGACTTACATACGGTTCTGCACGGAGAAGCAGCAACCTGCGAGTGTCAGAGGTGCCGAAGGCCGGAGGCCCCGCAGCTTGGGCGGCTGCTCATCCCTCAGACTGTGCAGGGCGGTGGCTCAGACCGGGTGGGGTGAGCGCTGCAGCCGGGGCGGGCCCAGCAACCGGGTAGGAAGCCCCAGGCTCACCTCCACTTCCCTTTCCCAACGCACAGAGCCCAGTTCTGCGACCACCCGACAGCCCCCTCAAGACAAAGAGAGATTTTTTTCTGTCCCGGTCCGCTCAAAGTTTATCGGTCTTTCCCGGCGATCGGGGCCGCCGGGCTTTGTAGTTCGCCGGTCTGAACTACCCCACCAAGGCCGCGAGCCTGAGGAGCCACTGAACTACAATCCCCATGATGCCCCGCGAGCCTAGCGCTCCCGCGCTCCTCCCAGTCCCCGCACGGGGGCCAGCGCCCAAGGAACCCCACCACGCACTGCCCAGGCATCTCCTGTAGTGGGAGGTCGGGAGGGACTATAGGCTAGAGCCCCTCCACCACCACCACCTGCTGTCCCGCTTGCGCCCCTGTCCCTCGGATTCATTACCTAGGAGGCGCAGGTCGGGGCACAGTACGCGATGCCGTCCAGATGGGGTGGGGGTGGGGCATACGCCGCCGCCGCCGCCGAGTCCGTTAGTTCGCGACGTGCGGGAAGAGGCTGCGGCGGCGGCGGCGGCGGCGGCGGCGCACGGTTGCCGTGGCAGCCGCGGTCACGAGGTGGGGGCAGCGCAGGAGGGAGCGCGGGGCGTGTGAGTCCGCTCTGGGGCGGAGCTTGGGACGCCCTCCCCGGTTTCCGGGGAAGGGAGGTGCTGCAGCACAGGGTGGGAGAGTAGGGAGACAGTGACATTGAGGAGGACGCGTGGCTGACTGAGCTTCAGTAGTGCTTGATGAGCCCGCCTCGATTGCGTCCAACCCCCGTGGCGGGGCGCCTTTGTGCCTGCTGCTTTCGGTGGGGGCACCCGAGGCGTCGCTGGGCCCTTGGCGTCCGCCGCTGGGCCTGGCCGGATGGGATGTATGGAACCTACGCCACCTGTTTTTATCTCCAGTCAAACGGAATTGAAGTCGTTCGCACCCCCTTTCTCCATACTCTGGAGAGTGGGATAGAAAGGAGTCCTTCAATAAGATGGAATGCATATGGTTTTTAGGATTATTCATGATGTTTTAGAACTTGCAAATGGCATTGCTTTCGACTGAATTTGGATTTATGCTGTTTCTTGGGCAATAGTTTGTGGATTCCAAGATAAACAGGTGAAGAGCTTGGGCTTCCAAAACGAATTCTTAGTTCATGTCCTGCCCCTATAGCATGGTGGCTGATGACCAGGGGCGCCTTTCTCACCTCTTGACGTTTTGGTCTGCAAAATGGAGATAACCATCTTGCAGCTCTTCTAAGAAATAAAACTAGCATTTAACAATAGCTATTAAATATTAATTATTTAATCAATAGTGATAAAACTCACGATAGTGGTTGGCTGGCCGTCAGGGAAGGATTTGAGATTATTTTTTGCAGTGATGAAAAAGTTCTATAGCTAAGTGTTTCGGTTACAGAAGTATATGCATTTGTCAGAACTCTTGGAATGGGACAGTTAAGATTTGTACATTTCGCTGCATATAGATTTACCTCAAAAAGGAACATAAAAATGTGTTGTTATTATTAGAACTATGGACTCTAATAGAAACCACAGAGATGTTCTAGGCCCAATCTCTAGATTTTATAGATGAGAAAACTGAGGCCCAGAGATTTAATAGAAAAAAAGAGGAAGGGAATTGAATTACTGACCTTGCCATTTTCTAGTAATGAATATCACCTGAAAAATTATGGTCAAAAATAGCAAGTCACTATGCCTGTAATCCAGCTGAGTCATCCTGCCACAGAGATTTCTTGAAATTGAGTTCCTTATCCACCTTTTGTTGTTCGCCAAGGCCAATGTCCTCTCAATGATTGCACTTCTGGCTCTGAGTTCTTACTTTTTCTGAACACTTAAGATTTTTCCACATATCACCTCTTGCAATTCTTTTCTGTCTACTGCTGCTGACACGTAATGTCGAAATTAGTCCCTTTTATTTGGCTGTTTCTATAGCCAACTCTGGAAGGTTTGGAGCAGATGAGTGGTTTTAAATTAAGGATGCAAAAAACCTAAAATTAGAAATCCCTGCTCTTAAAAGGCCTCCAGTTCCTCCAGTGGTATTTTTATCTGCTTACTCCCATTTCTTCTTCATAACCTGTAACCTCCGGCTGTTGTACCATCTCTCTGGTCCCATCTCTCCCCTCCTCTCTTCTCTCTTTATAGAATATTTTTATCTCCATCTCCTAATCTGTGCCTTCATAGTTACCTACCATTCCTAAACTGTTTACCAAAGCATTTTCCTACACAAAGTAACTAAGAGGAACTCTGGTGCCAGCTATTAAAATATTTTTTCACATAGGTATCCTCATATTCTATTTGATTCAGTCCACAGTGTAGCTGTTCAATAAATGTTAAGCAGTTTATGTACATGACTTGTTGATATGGTTTGGCTGTGTCCCCACCCACCTCTCACCTTCTGTTATAATAATCCCCACGTGTCAAGGCCAGGGCCTGATGGAGATAATTGAATCATGAGGATAGTTTCCCCCACACTGTTCTCATGGTAGTGAATGAGTCTCAGGATCTCATGGTTTAATACATGGGAGTTCCCCTACACAAGCTCTTTTGCCTGCCACTGTGTAAGAAGTCCCTTTGCTCTTCCTCATCTTCTGCCATGATTATCAGGCCTCCCCAGCCATGTGGAACTCAGTCCATTAAACCTCTTTCCTTTATACATTACCCTGTCTTGGATATGTCTTTATTAGCAGTGTGAAAATGGACTAACACCCCTGTCCAGACTATCTTCACAGTGGGTTCACTTATGAAACCCATTTTCTTACATCGATAATAATGGTTCCTCTGTTTAGTATAAATGAGGAAACTATGTGATCATATCTGGAATCTGCTGTCTACGAAGAAGAAAAGAAACCAAAGTAACCATAGCTTGTACAGAAAACACAACAGCACTTAAGAGATGAAAGTCCAGAACAAAGTCTGAGTAGTAAGCCATAGGACATCCGTATAGGACCTGTCACCTGCAGCAATTTGATCACAACTGAGCATGTAAATAAATTCTCCTTTACTGTTGGAGAAGATGATACTGATTTGCTACCAGCTGAGCAGGTGTTTGTAATAGGAGGGATGATAGGTTCACTGGATCCATCTCTCCCTCACCTGGTTTCCCTTGTGACCTGTTCCTTGTCTTTCTTTGCAAGGCGGCTGGCCAGGGTTGTAATGCAGCCTACAGCCATGACAAAGTCTCCAAGGGCAAGGTCCCAATGCATAACACTCCTTGTTTTGTGAAGCCAGGATCCCAGAAAATCAGCTTAGCAGGACAGGCCACTTGAGAATGGATGATGGCAGCACAAACAGCTGCTTTGCAGTGAGTTGGAGGAGGGAAGACCACAAGCCACTGAAGCACAGTGGCTCACATCGCTGTGGACAGGTAGGAAGAATAAGGACTGACAGTAAATCATAGTTACTTTGGACCTTTTCAAGTGATAAACACCCTATGCAAATCCAAAAGATGGAGCTGAAAGCGGCACATTAATCCCCACAGGCAGCGTGGTCAAGAGGCACCACCCTCATTTACAGCATATCTGGTTCACAGTTGAGGTCTTTCTCAGTTATTGGTGTTCTTGGGATCTCTAGCAATTGATATTGCTCACCACTCTCCTTGATGGTCCATGATGGATCTCTTCAGAGCTTTCCAACCAGACTTCATTATGTTATTCACAAGCTCTTTTATCTAATCCTTAAATGGGATCGTTGCCAAGGTCCAGTCACTACACCTTCTCCATTTACAAGCTTCCACCTCAGCCAAGGTTGACGCTCCGATTTCTCTTGCTAGGTCTGATCCGCAAGTTCCAGTACTGCACAAGCAGACCTCCTCTTCCTTCCGTAATTTGTTCTGTTACTTCTGTTCTCTACGCCTGAGTTGCCAGCGCCTTATCCCATCTAAGTTCTATGTATTTTGAAAACTAACCTTCACTTGAAACCTTTCCAGATCATTCATGCTCAGTCCTATCACCCTGCTCTGCACTCAGAATATTTCCTGCCAATCTCACTCCATCAACAGCTTACCGTACTGAGTGGCTGCTCATCATCTACCGGTTTGTACTCATTGGCTTTTTGTCTTTTCTCACTGTATTTCAAGCTCCTCCAACGTGCATTTTTGGGTATTCTCAAAAACACCTTCATAGTGTTTTTGACTGGTGGTTCTTTTACATATACCCTATATATAATGAGGGCACAATAAGTGTTTTTGACTGGTGGTTCTTTTAACTTTTCCCCTGAGCAAAACCTCCTTTATCTGGTAGCTCTTCCTCTTCTAGTGCTATACAGGACATTTGCAGCCTCTTGGTAAAAATTTCCCTGAAGCCTATAGAACTGTGGACCCCCATACATATTCAGTGGAAGAGTACCTTGGGAAGTAATTCCTTAAGTCACTGTTGCTGTGGAAGGAATTCAGTATGTAAGTAGCACTGAATTCCAACATTCAGGCCCTCTTACCCTTGAAAGTCTAGAACAGAGTTTTCCTCACTGTGAGTCACAGCCTATTAGTAGGTCATGAAGTCAATGTGATGGGTCTCTTCCAGCTTTGTAATAGTGAAAATGTGATATGGTAAGGTAGTGTAGGGTAAAGCAGAACGCAATAGAATATGATAGAAAATGAAATCCAGAGGGGATGTGCATGATGAGGGTCAAGTATCCTACGGCAGTTACTGAGCTGTCATCTTTCAGCTTTAAACCTACCCTCTGTCCTGTGTGGGGCTGGAATTGTGCAAACGTTTCTCCTTTGTCATCTGGAGATGACAGGGGCAGGGAGAGGCAGGGGCAGCACAGCAGGACCAGAGGAAGAGCAGGAGGCTGGAGGAAAGGGAAGCAGTTTGCCCCTTCCTGGTGGCCTGCTATGCTTGTCAGCATCCCTCCTGCAACAGCCTTTTAGCCTGGTGGCAGTTTTACCTGTCTCTTGTTGTATCTCAGAACCAACCTCATCTCCTCTCTTCTCCCTGCACTTCAGAGTGTGACCCACCGCAGCGGCCAGGCAGTGTCCTTCTTCAGAAGCCTGTGCCCCAGCTTCACCAGCACTTTCTTCCAACCCCAACCTCTCCTGCCTTGGATCTCCAGTCCTACAGGCAGAAGCTGCTTCTCACAGGTATAACCTACGTGTTACTCCAGTGTTCCTTTTTTAATTTTTCAGTCGTTGAACATCTGACTAATCAATTCCCTGTACTAAATTCTCACTCTTGAAATGCCTACTTAAGTTTCTTTTTTCCGACCGGGCACGGTGGCTCAC